TATCTTGTCAAGATCAATGCATTTTGATAATAAAAGAAGTACATGTTGCGCTCTCAGCATTGTTTTAGCTATATTTCTTTTGTAATTCAATATGCATGCGTAAAGAGATATGCAGTATTAGTGTACATGTTGTATCAAAGTTACTTCAGTTGACCTAAATACTAAATATGTATTGATTAATTGATAATATTTAAAAAATGTCCAAAATTATAACTCGTTTTTCTATTTTAAAAATATTTCTATCGTTTTTTATGAAAAAATCTAGGAGAAATAATTCAGAAAAATCAAGCATTAGCTTTTTTCACAACAGTTTATATGCTTATAGATCGATTTTGTGATGATACCTAGGTCTATAAGTAATAAGCGAAGTTTCTAGTTTACTATGCTTTGATTTACACAGTACATATTCGTAGAATTGGAAAAACTCTCGCAATATACACTACTATGCAAAAGTATTTCTCTCGCTCTTGGATCTGAGTTAGTCACTAGAGCTAAACATGAAACAACATGTATGTATATAGTCTATGAATACTCTAAGTTTGCAGTAATCTCATCGTCAAGGTCATTCAAGCTAAAATACTGTCATAATAAATAGTGTCTACGATGGTTATGAACTTCGTAGCTCAAGAACAGAAAATCTTTTCGAGTCGTCCAGTTACTCACACTGAAGACCTACATTATTGCTACTTCTGTTATAAATTTCATCAAAGTTTCTCAAACTATTCATGAATTAGAGCAGTGGATGTAGATAACTGTGAGAAGATGTGCATGTCAATCTGATTTGATGAAAACAAGAACGACATCTACTGACATTCAACTCTATCTGAACACACATCCTTACCAGTTGAAGGTGGAGTGTACAATTGAGGTACACAGACAGGTACTGGTTGTAAAAGTGGATGGGGTGGACACGTTTCTTTGAGTTGTATTATGCGAAGATCACCTTGTTTAAGACATGCGGTCACTTCAAATTGAGTAGCAGCCAGGAGTAATGCTTCATGTTCTTCAGGATAATAAGAATGCTTGGAAATATCTCGTGCTGTTTGACATTGTATGCTGAACATCGTTCTAGTACCCGTTTCACCCAAAAAACTGTCCGATTGTAAAACATCAACGAATTTGGTAGAAGAAGAGAAAGCCCACCAGACAATTGTATTTCCTTTGACGTAGCGCGCGCTTAAATCCTTTTTAATCCCCCTATAAGTTGTTTCGCAAAGTGGTGGAATGCGAAAGAGAGCGTTTAGAAAGAGTCTGATGTATAAATACCATGGTTTCAACGTTTTCTGGCGATTTGGTGATCGCAGAGTATCATTAAGGACGGCGTAAAGTGATTCTTCAGGTTGATTCCATCCCATTGTGTAGAGCATGATAGAAGCCGATTCATCTGATGTTAATGAATCAGCAGGATTTTTACATCTTTGCTTCGCCACATAAGCAAAACTTTGCACTTCTGGTAGGATATCAACTAACGGCTTCACAGCTTCTTCGAGAGAAACAAGAGGCATTTTCCCATAGCCACTAATTGGTGCAAAAAATTCCAGCGGCTCCTTAGCAATATCAGAAATACGTCCGAAGCATTGATCAGACACTGTAGCGTTGCCACTTGCAGCCATTATCAACAACTATGAACTAATCACCTAATATAAATATAAAGTCTATAAAAGAAAAGTAGAGTGATGAAGACAACTTTTGGTTTTTATTCTAAAATCATTTCTGTTCTAAAGTTTCAATTTGTATTAACATAGGGTGTGGGTGTGTGGGGTGTGGGTGTGGGGGTGTGGGTGGGTGGGTATGGGTGTGGCTATCTTGAGTGTGGGTGAGGGCATGCCTGTGGGTGGATGTGGGTGTGGGTAAGTGTGGATGTGGGTTTGGGTGTGGGTGCGCTAATACAGTTGTGGATGTGGGTAGGTTTGGATGTGTGGGTGTGGGTGTGGGTGGGTGTGGGTGGGTGTGGGTGTGTGGATGTGGGGTGTGGGTGGGTGTGGAGGTGGGGGTGTGGGTGTGGAGTGTGGAGTGTGGGTGGGTGTGGGTGTGGGTGTGGGCGTGGGTGTGGGCTGTACGCAATAACTTTATCCATACACCTACACCCTGCATGGATGACAGAAATGCTACACCCGCTCCATATTCACACTCACATCCTTTCAAGATAATTCCATAGAATCATAGAAAACCCTGAGACATTCCAGGGAACCGTGAGAAATCCTACGGAATCATAGGGAATTCTGTAGAATGCTTTGAATGCTTAAAAAATGATAGATAATCCTTGGCATTCGTGGGAATTCAAGATTTAAGGATTTCATGATTTTCCCCTTGGATAGACTAAAATAGGAGTTGTTGCCAATAGAAACTCAATAATCTGTATGAATTTCACATGTTCTTTTTTCGTAAAACTGAAGTAATAGATTATTTCTCGAAAGAACTAATGACTTAAACTCATACGATTCTATGCAAATAACTAGAGAAACTATTTCGAACATGCAATGAAATAAAATCTTGAATAAACTTGTGTCTCTTGTGTTTTCTTCTTCGAAATCTCATTACTTGTGGTATGTTACATAGCTCTATTTTCGACGTTTGAAATACTCTCTTTCGTTTTAGAAATTCTTTTAATAAGGTGCTCATTAAAGTCAAATAATGAAAATCAACCATACCGACTCAATTGTACTGATGGTTTCTTCCAACCTGGTCGAGTGTTGTTTATCAAATAACTCTTTTCTTATCTTTGCATTATGGCAACATTTCGGTCTCTTTTGCCTCTTTTTTTGTCGTTTTACTTTTTGAATACTTTTTATCTACACTATTTAGAAGGACTACACGTGATGACAATAAATATTCAAGATAAAGAGCAGTAGACAATTAATCGTCTACAAGAAAAAGAACCATATTTTCACAAAGAAATTCAGTTCGTAGAAAGTGTATACGCCAACATTATTTCTATACAATGTGCAATTGTTGACATTGTTCAATAATGAACAATAACTAGTAACGATGAACTTTACGAGGAATCTATAATAAAATCTGATTATAGACGACTAATACATTACGATTATTTTAAAAATGGCTTCATACTGAATTTCATTCTTGGATAGATAAGGCTTATACGATTGTGAACATCAGACAACTTTTCTGTAAGTTGATCAGCAAAAGTGATAATTTTCAATATAGAGTGTGGGGTGTGGGTGGGTGTGGGTGTGAGTGTGGAGTGTGGGTGGGTGTGGGTGTGAGTGTGGAGTGTGGGTGTGCATTAAACAAGCAGAACAAGCCCACACCCACACCCTAATAAGTGTTATCATCTTTTTAATAATGCATCTTTCATTTCAGAGATTTGATTGTGCATTTTTTATTTGATACAAAAAAAAATTATAAATAAAAATTTCATAGAAAAGAATATTATCAAGAAAACTTAGTAACATTCTGATTTATCCCAAAACTTAGCATTTTCGATCAATTATGTATCTCGACCTTCTCCTTCTTGTCTTATATTATAGTCATCGATTATTGTTCGAAAAGCTTTTATTTATCTATTCTTTCAAACAACACGTTAAAGAAAATGTTTATGAATTCCATTTCCATAAATAAGTAACTACCAACGATCATCAATAAATGCTGTTAAATGAAGTACAAAAGTAATACTTTGATTTTCTTTTAATCGTAATAATGAAGGAATAATTAGAATTGCAACATATATGTGATAAATCCAGTGAATAAAGAACAAAACGAAATTGA